CCACTGTTGGGCCAGTGTATTCTTTCAATATTGGACAAACGTCATTTTTGTACAGTTCGGCCATTGTAAGCAATTAATGTTGGACCAACGGTAATTTGCTCATTGGCCCTTAATGAAACCAACTTGTTGGCTTATTGTTGGGCCAATGTAACAGTTAATTTTGGGCCACTGTTGGGCCAATGTATTCTTTCAATGTTGGACAAACATCATTTTTGTACAGTTGGGCCATTGCAAGCAATTAATGTTGGGCCAACGGTAATTTGCTCATCGGCCCTTAATCAGACCAACTTGTTGGCTTATTGTTGGACCAACGTACGGATATTATTGAGCCATTGTTGGGCCACTTATTCTTTCAATATTAGGCAAACATCAGTTTTAGGCCAACGTTGATTTATATCTTATTAGCTCTCCATCAGGACAACTCATTTGCTCTTCATTGGTTGGCCAATTGAATAGCAAACTACATGCATATATAATAAGGTTATACTAGTTTTGTAGTACAGTTTAATGGTAATATCAATTCCCTTTAATACTATATATATGCTAGATTAATAGATAAATACATATTCACAATATCTCATAGAATTACAATCAACAAGTATTGCATTGTAAGTAGCCCTACATTAATTAAAAAAAAACTTAGGAAAAAGAAATCAAAATATAAAATTAAATTATAACATACTAGAATTTTGTTGCTCAGTGCATGAAGAAAACATTAATAAAGAACAAAAAGTTGATGCTCACTTGAAGTGATGCATGTAGGGTTACATGACTGTATACTCCCTCGCTGATGTAAATTTATGCACAAGTTCAGTAAATTGCAGGTATCAATAAGCACGTCTAAAAAATAAACAAAGTCCCCTAATGATAAATAAATAATACTAAAATGAATCCCGCCATTTTGTTAACTTGCACAAAAATGTTTCTGGTATCTGCATCGTGTTTGTTACCGACAAACAGACACAGAAAAGGGTAGAACTACAGGTATGTCACAGTATATAACAGAAAAAAGTTAGGCACTGCCACTTTTCATCTGATCCCTCTCCTAAGTCTCCTCTTCTCTCTCCCGAGTCTCCTCCTCCCCCTTCTTTTCTTCTATGTCCGTTTCTTCCTTCCCCATCCCTGTCCTTGGCATACCTCAGCCATTCTTTGATTGTGTTCTCAATGTCTTTTTAGAATCTCCAGTAGCACTAAAATTGTAGTATTTTGGTACTTAATACATTTGTTACTTTCCTCAGTAAAGAATAAACATACGATTAAATTGCAAGTATATCACTATATGTTTAAGCTGTCAATTAAGGAATAACCGTCTTTTTTGTTTCATGGCGTGATTAAGCGATTAGCTTGCCTGATGAAGGCCTTTATACATATAATTTCTAGCTTGATCATCATCATCACAGCGATTTTGATTCAATGTTGCCCCATATAAATCATTGTTCAAAGTAAAATACATGTATAGAAAATTTTTAGGTACACTGAACAAATTCTAAATGAAAGAACCCAATTTATGTTTTAGTACTGAATAAATTTTGTTCTAATTTCAACATGTTCAACATTTTCAACATGTTTGATCATGTGCTCGACGTTAAGTGTATATAAGTAAAATGAGTGGTAGACTTCGGAAATTTATTCTACTAGACACAAATTTCAATCTAAATAGGGGGAAAATTATTTATTGTTTTAACTGTATCAAAACTGTATCAAAACACATTTGTTATTTTATACTTTCATTTATTTTTCTTGTATAGAAACAATAAATTCAATCACTGATAATTTATTTTGTTTTGACAAATTATAAGAATTTTAACAAGCTTTGTAAATTTATTTTAGCTAACTTGTATTTTCAAGTAGGAATGGTGGTATATTTATTTCTGATTGCAGAGACGATCGAATTTGTTAATATACGCATTTGTAACCATTAAATGTTTATACACATTGGCCCAAATTGTTGGTCCAATATATCGGGACAACATTGGGCCAATGAGCAAATTGACACTGGGCCAACGTCATTTGCCTACATTGGCCTAATGTTCTTGTTCACGTTGGGCCAACATTGCCCCAGTGTCGCATTCATTGAACCAATGTTGGCGCAACGTTGGGTCAATATCTGTAGAAATAACACTCGACATTGGACCAACGTTGGCCCAACATATCGGACCAACATTGGGCCGATGAGCACTTAGATTGGGCCAATGTCATTTGCCAACATTGTCCCAATGTAACCAATGACACTGGCCCAACGTTGGCCCAATGTTAGCATGCTATCTTGGACAGTGTTGACCCAACCAAACCTTGCCTCTGCACTTCCCCGTGTCTGATTTATACAGATTTGTACACGATATCCTTTAAACTATAAACATTAATTAAACTATGTTGAAGCAAACATATTATAAATACTTACAAAGTGGTGCAGATATGCAAGCAGCAAGGTATCAGTCTCATTACGCTCGTGTCAGATTAAAAATGGCGCGGATTTTACAAGTAGCCCGGATGTTGTCTACCCATGATGCTCAGCCAGATTCATGGTAAATTGGGCCAACTTGGGGCCGATGCCAATCCCCCAACAAATATTTTCTCTCATGATAATAGTTTTATGATATAACGCCAACAGGTAGCCCAACATTGGCCCCATTATACATAACCAACTATCGATATTCCATGTTAGACCATCGTTGGCCCAATAAAGGTAACCCAACAGCGATAATACAGCCATAATGTAAGATTAGACCAACGATGTCCTCCTATCTGGGAATTAAGTTCAAAGTTAAAATGTTAAAAATATCACATCTAAACAAAAGCAGTCCCTAAAGGTGTATTACAAACATCGGGCCAACGTTGGGCCCACACACGACTACCAACTTGATAAGACACTTTCTTTAGGGGTGTGTTACAAACATTGGGCCAGCGTTGGGCCAACATACGACTACCAACTTAATAAAACACTTTCTTTAAGGGTGTATTACAAACATTGGGCCAACATTGAGCCAATATACCACTACCAACTTGAGAAGGCCTTTTCCCTAGGGTTGTATTACAAACATTGGGCCAACTTTGGGCCAACATAGTACTACCAACTTTAAAAGACACTTTCTTTAAGGGTGTATTACAAACATTGGGCCAACGTTGACCCAACATTAGCATCCTTCCTTCCTTGGAAAGTAAAGTGAATGGAAGTTGCTTACGATTGACCAACGTTGGGCCAACAAAGGAATTTCGACATGATCGAGAAGGTTGACATGGTAACATTGGTCCAACGTTGGGCTAACGTTGTTCCCCCAACGCCAACCATACAACCTTTTATCAACGTTGGCCCAACATAGTCATGCTATCTGGGCTCACTCTTCCTTTTCGATAAACCTTTTTTTCAAACTGTCACTTACAAATGTTTGAGCAATAGACCATTAATAAAAATAGTATAAAGGGTCATGGACCCCTCCCCCCCCTGCATCTGTACCGGTATATATAACCGGGGCGGTTACTTAGGGAGTTTTTTCTTCATTTTTATATCACAGACTTGACACGAACAAAGGTGTTTGTCAACGTACTCCTTCTCTTCCGTAGACCATGAATTCTTTATGACACATTTTTATGACACATTGTTACTAGTATTATAGTAAAAAAATACAGTAAAAAAGTATATAATTTGACCGAAATATCAACTTTATAAAAATTCACACTGAACTGATACTTGCTATGGAACATACTGGAGTATATCTGATGTTCATAATGCAAATGTGCAATTTTTTGCCCTGAGAAAATCAACAGTTGTACTGTAATTAAACTGGTGTTTTTTTCTGCATTGCAAGGCACTACTAGTATTTTCTAAGCATGGACCCCCACACCAGTGCCCAGGATGTGATGCGATGTGACCTGTGTGAGACCGCTGTGGTACAGATGCATTGTGATACATGTCTTGTCAACCTGTGCACAGCTTGCGTAGGGAAACACATGATTTCTGATAAATTCATGGATCACAGAGTCGTCGAATTTCAGGACAGGAAATCCACTCACCTCTGCCCTAAATGTAAAGTTCACGTAGATAACAGTTGTGAATTGCATTGTAGGGAATGCGCTATTCCGATTTGCTCCGCTTGTATTGTCTCTAAAAAACACAAAGATCATGACGTCCACTTGCTTAAAGACATCGTTTTTAAAAAGAGGACAGACGTCCAGAGAGAAATTCATGAATTAGAGCAATCCATCTATCCAACTTACCAGAACATAGCAGATGATGTACAAAATACATTAAGTCAAATAGACATGAAATATGAAAAACTCTCAACAGCCATAACAAAACATGGAGAGGACTGTCACAGAGAAATTGACAAACTTGTCAAGAAACTTAAAGCTGAAGTTGATGAGATGAAAAACAAAGACAATGAAACTCTAAAAGGACAGTTATTAAAAGTACAAACGTACATCTCTTAGATAACTAATGATATTAATTCTCTGCACAAATTATTAGATTCTACAAATATTTGTAAAGTGTTAACTTCCAGTCTCTGTACAGAAAAGGATCTCAGAAGTGTTTGGAAAAATAACTCCAACAACGGTATCACCTGATAACTATGGTTACAGCATAAAAACAGAACAGGGATCGCTAGGAGCTGAAATGTCTCCTTCACAAGAGAGGAGTACAGAAGCTGGATCCTCTCCTCCAGTCAAACAGCTGCTTGATGAACCAGAGACTGTCACCACCATAGATACTGGGTATGACGACCTTTACAGAGTGATGAAGAAATCTGGACAAGTGGAGATGATAAAACCATGAAACTCTTCAGCATCAATCAGGGATTGATGTCAGTCAAGTCAATCACAACCAAGCGAGGGAAGTGGCCATCTGACATAACATGACAAAAGGTGGAGATCTTGTTTATACTGATTATGGTGATACTACTGTGAACATTGTGAAGAATGAGAAGATAGAGGAGGTGATCAGACTACAGAACTGGTTACCTCGCAGTGTCTGTAGTACCTCTTCTGGTGACCTCCTGGTTATCATGGACAGTTGTAATGTCACACAAACAAAAGTTGTCCATTGCTCTGGCTCCACAGAGAAACAAACCATTCAGTTTGATGATAAAGGCAACCCTCTCTATTCATCTGATGGTGGTGACAGATACATAACACAGAACAGGAACCTGGATATATGTTTGTCTGACTGTGGAGCAGTAGTGGTGGTCAACCAAGCCGGGAAACTGAGATTCAGGTACACAGGACATACTCCTGCTCCAGAGAGCGAACCATTCTATCCACGAGGAATCACCACAGACAGTCAGGGTCACATTCTTACAGCTGATCATTACAATCACTGTGTCCACATCATAGACCAGGATGGACAGTTCCTCCATTACATAGACTGTGGACTGAGTGATCCCTGGGGACTGTGTATAGATACAAATGACAATCTGTTCCTCAGATTGGAAATAGAGAAGTGAAGAAAATTAAATCTCTTAAGTGAACTCAATTAAAAAAGAATACAAATATTAATGATACATTTGAGTAAACAAATAAATATTTTTGTGTATTATTACGATTTAAAATAAAATGAAACCTAATTAAACAATCTTTTTCTTCAGGATTTGGCCCCGTGGGGATCCGGGTTAGAATAGGTCTTCAGTACCCCCTTGCTTGTCGTAAAAGGCGACTAAATGGGGCGGTCCTTCGGATGAGACCGTATAAACCGAGGCCCCGTGTCACAGCAGGTGTGGCACGATAAAGATCCCTCCCTGCTCAAAGGCCGTAAGTGCCGAGCATAGGCCTAAATTTGCAGCCCTTCACCGGCAATGGTGACGTCTCCATATCAGTGAAATATTCTGGAGAGGGACGTTAAACAATATACAAGCAAACAATCAATCTTCAGGATTTGAGATTAACAATTTGATAAAAAAAATCTTTTTGTGAAGATAAATTCAAAATATTTTTCGAAATATTAAAAAGATTCTGAACTCATATTAGCCAGAAGGCATTCATATTGTTTACTGACTGATGTAAATTTGTTGTGATCAGCAATTAGTTCAACTTTAATGATCTATAATATTAATTTTTTTCTGCACAAATGTTATACATGTAACTGTACATACATAAAGATTTTTTTCATTTTAGTAACTATTACATCTTGTCAATTGTTTTTATATAAAATTCTTTTCTCTTATTTTTTCCTTTTTTTGAAATATCCGTGTTTTAGATTTAACAAAGCGAATAAGAGATGATATGCTCTCTGAATCTGTCTTTCCGGATTTTCCAAAGTGTCCAGTGTTAATATTGTCACTCTGTGATTTCCGTTTTCTGTCCACTGACGGTTTTCTGGGTTTTTCCTGATGTCCTTCGCTTCAGTTTCTCTTCAATAATTGCCTCCTTTGATTGAGTCTCTTTTTAATTCTGACGCCGATGGATCAATGATGTACAGATGGGAATCAAAAATGGCGGTAAATCTGTCGTTTTTCAAATTTATCTGAAATTGATAAATTACCTATAAAATCTATCTGAAACTGAATTATTTTCTTCGTTATGAAATTTTGGCATTATTAGTGAGGGTGCCAAGATCGCTAAAATTATATATCGCTAAAAATTAATTGCGCTTTATTTGAAATAGCTTCTTTAGTGAGCTTTTTAAAATTGCTAAAATTACATCTCACTAAAAATAAAATACCATTTTCAAGGAAAAAATCGCTAAATATTCGTCTCGCTAAAATTTCCACTTATACGGCATGTAGTCGTGGAAAAACATTTAATTGTAACATGTTCCCTGTACATGCACAACAGAATTATCTTCATCTAGTATATATAGAAAAAATGTTGAAAAAGGTCAAGCCAGCCATTCATTTTGGGATTTTGAATCATGGTGTTAGTATGTATTACAATATGTCTTTACAGTAAAAAAAATGTATAAAGGCTAAGAATTACACACATGAAAATAGTAAATTCACTAAACATGAAGTTACATTTCTTAGTTGTGATGATTAGTAATTTTAGGCTCAAAAGTCAGAAGTAATGAAGTGATTTATGTTTAAATGTCCAGAGTTACAGGCATTTGGATGTATTGCCCAGACTATTCAAGCTGTGTTGGGAGTAATTAAGTGTAGAACAGTGTCTAGTGTGGTCAAGAATAATGAGTCTTTAATGAGTGGAGCAATGGGAGCTATTGTTCGTAGAATAGAATTAACGTCAAGATAGGTTATGACAGTCTGATAAGGATTTGATAAAGATATATGTAGCGTTGGACTTAGTTCATTAATAGGATGGAGGTAATGTCTTAGATAATCATCTTTTGGAGTTAAGATTCATATATAATAAATGTGACATTTTTAGAAGTAGGGAGTGCTTTACTACGATTTAGACAGTACATATGCTAGCATAAATGTAATATCTTTCGTTTGTATTGTGCCTCCTCATTGTATATATGTAAATAAATACGTTCACTGTTTACTGACTTTTTATTGGATTTAGCATTACAAGAGTTACAAGGATTTATTAATCAAGGATATCTTAACTACAATTGGATATATACACAGTGGAATTAAGAAGTAATAATTGCTCGGTCACCTCCGTGAGTGACATAAGGAAAGATGCAACAGTAATTTTCTTTACCTTTTCATTAGGCCTATGTATTTTTGGTATGTCTTGCTGATTTTTATTGCAGCCCGGAGGACCGGGCTGCTCTTTACATTATATGTTTAAGTGTTGTTGTATGGGGCTTTGGGTGGGAGTAGTTATTCAGAATTAAAGGTTTTCTAAAAGTTGAAAAGATTGTTAATCAGAATGTTTTTTCCCTTTATAAATTACGAGATATATAATATATTTACTTCGATAAAGTGAATCTTTAAAAATATATATGTTTTTCATTTTTAATATATAAAGTTGCTTATTATTTACTATCGAAAAAACGAGAGGTCCCTTTTTTTAGAACATCGAATTTTACTTCTCGCATATAAACTTACTCTGCACAGTTCGTGTTTTATATTCTAAAATTGAAAATTAAATACATATTTGAATAAAGGTGATGCATGTGTCTAACTTCAATTTATATTTATGCAGCCTACATTTACTCGAGGAATTGAAGTTTAAAATGGTATCGTTTTTGTTTGATATTTATCCGACTTTAAGTTTTCAAAATATTTGCGACTACCGTCTCCATTAATTAGACGCATGCTTTTTCACACATATCGAAGCGGTTTGATGATCAAGACTCAGTTCCATTGTTTACTTTATATATTTCCCGGGCGACATTTGATGGTTACATCAATGTTTTCTTGCCTATATTGGTGTAAAATTAGCTGAGCCGTACGTCTATTTTCCTCTTCCTCGGAGCTGGACGCCAGATAAGCCCGGAAATCTTCCTCATTGACGTCATCCATCTTCTTCCTTTGTGACAAGTTATTCATGGTCACTTTGATTCGGTCCTGGTCTGTTTCATCCCAGGTTAAATTCACCTATTTTTTATTTGATATTTATCACACCTGATCAAAGAAATCTAGGAAAATAAACTATTAAGATGATTTCATACTGTTTTAGTTATTGATCTGATGCATGTACATGTAAGTCTGACATTTGACCTGTCCCATTAATGTGTGACCTTTAACCTGGTACATTGACTGGGCCAGGGCAGTTAATTGACACAAACAATGAGGGATTGTAGGCAGCAGGCATCCATACTGCTCTAAGGTTATCCACATTCATTATGAAAATAGGTATAACGACCATTCATGGATTCATTCCTCCGTCCCCCCCCCCCACCTTATATCAACAAATATGTGATCCAGAAACTTAATTTCCCTTGATTCAACACTTATTATTAACATTCTTTTTCATAACATACACCATACAAGTAGCTATAGCATTAAACGGATCATTGAACCCTACCTCTCCATCTTTGGTAAATGACTTTGATGTTTTCTCTTTCCTTTTTTCTTCTTTGTCTTCTTTGACTCAGATAATCATTTGTTAAAAAAAAAAAAAAAAAAAAAAAAAATTTTTATTGCTTAATGCCAATCTAAATACTGTCGATTGGCAAATAATCACGATAGTTTTGATTTTGCTATGATCGCGATTTATCATTTTTCCGAGACATTAAACCCATCGTGAATTTAATTGTTTGGTTCTAAAATCGTTTTAGGAAATTTTACGAAATTTTAAATTAATTTCCTGCAGCGTAAAATTAAAACCATCGCAACTGGTACCATTTGAGATATCGTGAAATTTTTACATCGTGGTATTGGACATTTTCGGTTGGGTGAACTTCTACTGCACTATCGATAACAGATAAATAAAAAAGCATGGAAACCATAAAAAGCAATTTAAATTAAAAAATAATACAAGCTCCTTAGTTTTAAATGGAGTTTATTTTGAACATTTAGTTTACAACATCTTATGTTTTAAAGAAGTTCTAAATTGGAAATATAATGAGTTTTTAATCACTGTCCTCCCCGGAACTTACACCAAGTGCCTTCATTAGTTTTGGTACTTTTTTTCCTTATATAGGTGTTGAACGTGTGATTTTCCCTCACAAGGTCAAGAAGAGGCCTTTTCTTCTTCATTTGAGCAGGTGCATCGTTTTTAGCCTCCTTTTCGCCTCTTTGTTTGGAGGACTTCGGTGTTTCTTCGTCAGTTGATACGCTTTTCCGCTTTCCCTTATTTGGTTGTAAAGTATTACTGCAGACCTCATTTCCCCCTGTTTCCTCATCCGAAATAGCAGACATTATTTCTGTTCTAAAATTCCGTTGTCCTTTGTCCTTCACGTGATTTCCTTTCTCAATTTCTTTTATTTTCTGAACCTCGAGCCTAAAATTTTATGAAAACGGTATACTTTTACTGCGCCAATTGGTTTGAAAATTATCAGCATTTTATTAACTTCTTGGGATGAACAGAAGGAAAAGCAAGAAGAAGCAGTTTAAAATATCGATTTCGTCTTTATAGTACAAAAAATGATTCGAAAGATGACACTATCTATGAAATTAGAAAACTGAAGTGGCGTTCTGATAAATGTGAAAAAGTCCTCAAAGAACAGGACACCAAAAGTGCCACTCTCAAATCAAAGCACCGGTCACGGTAGCCTAGTGGTAGGGCGTTCAATTCGTGATCGGGAGGCCCGGGTTCGATTCTCGTTCGCGGCGCCGCGTCATACCTAAGACGTAAACAAAGGTAGTGACTGTTCCTTCGCCAAGCGCTCGGCACTAGAAGTGAAAGTCACGGGTCTTTCGGATATGACCTTAAAAACGTAGGTCCCGTGTCACGGTAGGCGCTGGCACGATAAAGAACCCTCACTGCTCAATGGCCCTGAGTGCCGAGTATATGTCTAAATTTGAAGCCCTTCACCGGCATACGGTGACGTCTCCATATGAGTGAAAAATTCTCAAGAGGGGCGTTAAACAATATACAATCAATCAATCAATCAATCAAATCAAAGCACTCTAAAAGGCAGAGCATAACAAGAACTAGGACAAATAAAGAATCTAAAAGAGTCAAACCTAATGATGTAGTAATTGAACAGAGATGGGCTATTAGAGATAAAATATCTGAGTTGCTACTGTTTTGCACACATGTGATGCTTTTTTACTTATCTTTAATTGACACATTCAATATACCCAGTGTTAGATTTTTGACTGTGAAAGTTTTTTTCTGATGCTTCATTACAGATTAAAACTGTTATATTTTTATTGTTTAAACATTTATTGGTTTATTGTGTAATATGTAATCACATACATTGTTCATTTTAATCTTGATTTATATATTACATATATGTACAAGTTTGACTTAAATAATAAGTGCATTGACATTTATTGTGGAAAAAAATAAGACAATCAAGGGTAGTCTGAAAGAGCTCTGCTGGCAGTAAGCTGCAGATCTTAATACCCAAGTAAGAGAAAGGTGGTGTCTCTGACCGATCCTTTTGCTGTTGCTTGTGAGCGAGTGAGGCTTCTCTGTCAGTGGCTAAGTGTCATAGATGTAAAAATTAGACTAAGCAGATGAGGTAGAGGCATTTCTGAGTAAAAATTAAAGGGATGAATTGTGATTTTAATAAATATTACAATGTATATTGCAAGAGTAAAATATTTTGTTTCCTTCCATTTGAAGTAAGAGAGTTTATGAAGAGAATCTTTTTCATTAAGATGGGATTGTAATTAAGGCTAAAAAACTTGTTAAATATACTTGTACATGTGTTTATACAGGAATTTTTATATGCACATGTTTCAGAGCTCATTCTTGAAATTTTAAGGCAAAGTCTAGAAGATTAATTAAAGTTGAAAAAATATCACTATCGAAATGCCTTGCATTCCAATGTAAAATTGATTTAATGAGAACATTTGTTAAAGTTACAATCATCAAGCAATAAACCTAGCAGTTGGAACAGAAATGGACTATTAGAGACAAATTTAAACTGCTACTATTTTGTGTAATTGTGATGTTTTTTTCCTTATTTGAATTGAAATACTGTAAATCACTTTTTATTCGCGAGAACTTCATTTTCGCGTAATTACGCGAGACAGTGTGCTCGCAAAAATTTAATTCTCGCGTATAATAGCATTCCTTAAGATTATATAGAGCAATAACCACAATTCGTGAAAATTCTGTCTCGCTAATCAAGAGTCAATGGCTATCTCGCGAAAAAAAGGTGTCGCGAAAATATAGTGATCTACAGTAACCAAATGATATAAGATTTTTTTTTGGTGTTGTATTTTTCACAGTCAACATTAAGTATTTACTGTACTCGGTTAAAGATTTAAAAGCTGTCATATTTTTTATTGATACCAGATCGACTGGTTTATTGTGTCGCACACATGTACATACACTTTTGATCTTTCGTTTATTGCCATGTTTTTACAAGTTGTAACTTGAATAATTAGTGCATGGACATCTATTGTTGAAATACTTGGGAAACAATATGAGTGTAGTCTGAAAGAGCTTTGCTGGCAGTAAGTTGCAGATCTTGATACCCAAGTAAGAGAAAGGTGGTGTCTCTGACCGATCCTTTTGCTCTTGCTTGCGGGCGAGTGAGGCTTCTCTGTCAGTGGCTTAGTGTGTCTTAACAGATGTACATGTAAAAAGAATGGACAACTTTTATTGGCAACTTTTATTCTTTTTATTGAAAGTATGATACATGTATAATTTTTTGTGGGAAATTGAGAAGCCATTTACATCCCATGCAGCAGTTTTAATGGGGGCAGTTTCAGTCACAGATTTTGCAGTTTTTTGGAGTCCAGAATGAATGCATTTTTGGCCTGTTGTGTTCTGATTTATTGCGGATTTGAATTTTACATACAATTCTATTCTTATGATTATTTATTATTATTGATTTGTTTGGACATGATGACCCATTGTTGTCAGGGTATCTTAAATTAATAAAATTTCGAATTCCATATTAAGTGTTTTGTAAAATTCAAAATTCTGTCATTTACTTCAGTATTATTTATTACTTACTACTAGTATGTAAAAATTTATTCCATTATAATTGAGTTACAATCATAATTGTACATTTTTAAGTCACCTGAGTATACTCAGGTGACATATTGCTATCTCTTTTCGTCCGTCGTCGTACGTCGTTCGTAAACTTTTGAACATTTTTAGCTTTTTCTCTGGAACCACTCAACCAATATCAACCAAATTTGGCATACAGCATCTACCGGTATGGGTAAAGGGGAACAAACATTGTGAATTTCATGGTCCCTGCCCCCCTGGGGCTTAGGGGTGGGGCAAAGACCACTAAAATTAGCTAGTGCAATCTTTAAAAATCGTCTTCTTTACTCCTGGACATCAAGCAGTCAAACTGTTGGTGCGATTGTAATCAGCATTGACTTGTCTACAAAAAATGTGAAATTCATGGCCCCAGGGTCAGGGGCTCTAGCGCTAGGGCGGGGCTAAACAGGTTATATAGTGAAAATGGATATTTCTTGGAAATTCTTCTTTTCTGCTCCTGGGCATTAAATAAACTAACCAAGTGCAAAGGTAAGTTAAAAATGACCGCCTCTTCCAAAATTGTGAATTTTTTAACCCCAGGGTCAGGGGTTCTGCTGTTAGGGTGGGGCCCTATAGATAATATGGTGAAAATGCAAAAATTCTTTGAAATTCTTCTTCTCTGTTCATGGGCATTAAATAAACTAACCAAGTGCATAGCTATGTTGAATAAGGCTGCCTCTTCTAAAATTGTGAATTTCATGGCCTCTGGGTTGGGGGTTCTGGTGTTAGGGCAGGGCTTTATTGATTATATAGTGAAAATGCATAAATTCTTTAAAACTCTTCTCTTCTGCACCTGGGTATTTAACCAAAGAACTATGTACATAGTTATGAGGAGGAAGGATGCCTCTTTGAGATTTTTGAATTTCGGGGTCCCTGGGTTAGAGCTTCTTGTGTTTGGGTGGGGCGTTAATGTTTATATAGTGAAAATGCATGAATTCTTTGAAACTATTTTCCTTTGTTGTTGGGTATAATGCCAATGAGCTTAGTATATATTTATGACAAAAAACTTGCTTCTTCCAAAAATGGTTAATTTCCTGGCCCCTGGGACAGATCGTGATACTTTGGAGGGGGGGGGGGGTATTTATAACATAGTCTGAAATAATTGAATGCTTTGAAATCTGTACTTTGGTATTAATCAACAGCATAATGAAATAAAATTTTAAAAAATGTCTAAAATTTTGAAAGATGTGTCCCCAGGGTCAGTGGTTCCTGTGGTATGAGGAGCTCAACTGTGGACCTGCCCTAACACAAGAAGCCCTGGCCAGGGGCCCTGAGATTCACTAAAAGTGGAAATGAATTTTCTCTTTGTTACTCCGATCTACCTCTGGGTATTAAGTAACCAAAATAGGCATGCTGAGTATATAATTATGATAAGCAATGGTGCCTCTTTCAAAATTGTGAATTTCATGGCCACTAGTTTAAGACTTGAATCAAATATAATTGTTGGAAAGTTGTCGCATGATACTCAGGTAACCTATAAGGCCCATGGGCCTCTTGTTAAATTCTGACATTTAGGCATAAATTTTGAAATATCTTATACTTTGTTAATAGAACTCATTGTTTGTACACTATTGAGATAACAGTCATGTAATAAAATTGAATGAGAAGTGGATTTGTGTATGATTGTAAAGTACATGCATGTACTTGCAAAAAAAAAAAAACCACACAATTATAAGCCATACAAATTAATGAAGGAATAAATATTAAATAAAAATATTATGCAATAATATAATAATATTAAAATTTCATCAAATACAACCATAAATCTTAATGATATGGGAAGGTTTAATCCGTATATTTTCATCACATATACAAGAGATTTAATATTAGTTTATGAAAGATTTACATTTGAACGTATTAGTAAGTTTAACAATTTTCCGTATATAACTTAATTTTTTCGAAGTATTGTAATGAAAAGTGTGAATTAAACAAAAAATTCTGAGGTAAAGATCTGCGTTAAATTTTATTAAACAATCGAATTTAATATGACCATGAAACTTTATTTTATGGGCATGTTTAATAATAATTATACGTTTTGTATACTAGAGGTATAATATTTGTTTACGGGAGACTTAAATCTGAACGTATTAGTAAGTGTACAATTTTTCCAACTTTATTAAATTTGTTCTTTTATTTTTTCATTAAACTCGTATTAAATGCTAATTATTTTCTAACATTTACGATCCCACAATATGTTATACTATGCAATTTAACATTAAATAAACGCAGCATTTAAATTGCATTTAAGGTAAAATTAAACCCGACTTTTCATGCAGTGGGAACGTGGAGCATTTTCTGAAAAAAAGACAATATCAAATTGTCAACCAAACTTAGTTTCCAAATACTTTTAGTTTGTAAACGTTTTAATCATGTAGCTTTAAATATAATAATGATGTTTTGAATACATAAAAACGTTTTCTGTTTGAATAGAAATGGCAGAAATGAGGGGAAAAGATGCTGTTATAGCTGCGGTCCTAGCGCTAACGTTGCCACCTCCTGATATTGCTAGACTTTTGCGTAAACTGATTCCTATTTTGCTTTCAATTCTGACCCCACTTCCTTATCCACTTTTGGATGTACGCCATCGACTGATTGCTCCAGAGCCTATGCTTTGGAGGGGAAGGGATGTTTTTAGATTATTTTCCTCACATATGTGCTCCTTTTATGAAATAACTGGTGAAAGCCCAGACTCGCTTCGAGAGATTGTACGTAATATGTTTGCATTTCAGAGAGGAACAAACCATTCACGTCACATACTTTCTGTAGAGAATCGAGCCCTGCTCTTCATGATCTGGCTGAGATGCTACCCTACTTACCATATGTTATCTGCATTATTTAACATAAGTATTACAACAGTAAATGAAGAGATAATTTCCCTTATTGATCCTTTTCATACTTACTGTTCTTCATTTGTATCCTGGCAATCTATACCTGAATGGAGACAAATTCTACGTGTCTGGCCAAAATTGCCATTTGCAGTTGGTGCTATTGGTGGGACTTCTTTTGAAATTTATAAACCCAGAACAGAGCCACTGGAAATGTACTATTTCGGCTAGAGACACTTTCATGCTATTCACGCGCAGGTTGAAGTTGATAATTCGGGTATCATACGGTACGTTAAATGTGGTTTCCCATGTCATCAGAATGATGCGCAGCAGTATGTCCTTTTACCTGATATTTTAGAAGAGAATTACCTTTTCCAGAAGACTGCATATTACTTGCAGATAAAGTTTACCCCAATCGCCATCCTATAATCACACCATTTACATCCCAACAGATAAGAAGAGAAGATCCGGTAGAAAGACGGAGATGCAGAAAATTTAATAACATAGTTTCTAGACATCGATCTATTGTAGAAAGATCTATCGCAAAGTTAAAAGTATACAAAACTTTGAACAGTGTTTGGCGTCATCCTAGATCTATTCTTCCAAGTGTTGTAGAAATAATTACGGGATTGTTTTGTAAAAGAGAAGTGTATGAATAAAATATACATTGAATTTTGAATGTTCCTTTTTTGTAATGATCCCCATACTAAAAAATAATAATGTTTGACATATTCAGTCAATAAATTGATATAGAATATACGTTTGCTTATATTCACACAGAACAGACCTTATAATATTACTCAAGTCATTATGATCTGAATTAATATATTGTTGAACACTGATGAAGGAAAAGCTAAGTTACTAATCCAATTCAGAACTGCTTTAAAACATAAAATGTTGTAAACTGAATGTTTAAAATACTAGTAAACGCCATTTAAATTTAAGGAGATTGTATTATTATTTATTTCATAATTGCTTTTTATGGTTTCCATACTTTTTTTATCCGTTGTCGATAGTGCAGTAGAAGTTTACCCAACCGAAAATGTCCAATACCAATTTTAAAGTTGGAATTACCAACTTTAAAGTTGGAAAAGCCAAGATTAAAGTTGGAATTACCAACTTTTAAAAAAAGATATTGCGTGGCACTAATAGGCTTCCGTAATATATACCTGTAATGTCACCTGATCACAATACATACGGCCACCATTACTGAAACAAGGTAAAGGGTTAAATTATCTTTAAAATCTGACATATTGTAGAATTTTCTTTCTTTCTTTTTTATTCGTTCATTATCACAATCAATAATTTTTATTTGTATGTAAAACAGTCTGAATGTTTTTAATATTTTTGTATATATACTTTGATATGTTTTGCAAAGTCAAACAGGTTCTTGTGAGTCTCTCAGTTCCTTATGGTGTTACTTATAGTTGGTCTTTTGAGGAGGCTCCAGTGACTTTACATATAGTCGATCTCCTGATTGTCGGTGACAATTTAAGGGGTGGGAGAAACTCCCGAAAAATCTTACAAAACTATAAAGAATGGGTGGACTAACTGGCGGCAGGCCAGAAAAAATCTGTAAATCTAAGTTTCACAAAATGTTTATTTTTTTCTATCATATGAAACCCCGATATCATAACGTTATATTCATGGTACAGATGGGAATTTAAAACGCTTTTTTCCGGGTAAACTTAAGAAATATCGAAGGCATATGGTGCCTGAAGATTTCTTGAATATCAATAGATAATCAGGGTCACGCGTTTTTTATCGTCTGAATACATAGACAACGCATGTTTGTCGGCTGTTCGTAAGAAAACTGTAGTTGTACATGTATATTGAACAAAAAAATGTCATATTGAAAGGAGAAGTGCCGACAAATGTACTTAATTTAACAAAAAACATGTTCAAAATAAAGTTAATTCTCGCTTCCATTGTTATGACTGCAAGTGACCTGTTAAATATTACAATTCATCACGTGATGTCCACCTGCGAGTGTACTCGTGAAAACAGATACATTGTATTCTTCCACCTGACCTCGTTCTAAATCACGTCTTTGAGCGTGCATGATTGCTGTTTTCAGAATTTAGCAAATTAAATTTTGTTTTAATTTTGCGTCATCAAACTTTCATGTAAATTTCATATTGACATGGCTGCAATATGCTAAACACATATTCAAATTTTGGGAGAGAGAGGGGGGGGGGATAGAGAGAAATGTCAACAATGACGCCGATCGATAGCCCTGCCTCCTATAAATATTGATTATGTGAACTAAAAACCACTCCGGGTACATGTCAAATTCCGGAAGACGACACATATGTATCGTTGCTTGAATTTTGATACATGGTAACAGGGCACTGATTTTATACAAATGTTCCACCTAATATAACCAAGTATACATAGCCCTTTCCATTGCTTGTAACATATTTTGGATTCACTTCATTAACGGCTCGGTAGAGCCGCAAAAAGATCCAAAATAGGCCGTTAAGTCCACCCATTCTTTTCTCCAAACTCAAAAACAAATCTATTTCTTGGGGGCGTGTAGGAGGAATTGAACCTTAAATTTGGTAATTTTTATAAAGTTCTGGAACTTGCCAATGCTAGCAACAAGAGGAAGGACCCAAGCTGCATCAGCATGCAGATTTGTAATTATACTGTTCGTTTTTTTTTTTTCAAATCAAAATCTTGACACGTACCGAGTTGTTAGGAGACATTGACCCCCCCCCCCCCCCCTCTTTCTCTTCCGTACCCTACGAGTTTTTCTATTTTTTAAATAAAATATTTTTAATATTTTCATTTTTCTACAAAATACAAACTGTAAATTAAGTTTGATTTGCAAGAACTTCATTTTCGCATAATTATGCGAGGCATTGTGCGCACGTATTCTCGTACAAATTAGTATTCCATCAGATTATTATATAGAGCAATAACTTTTAATTCAAGGAAATTTTATCTCACCAACAGACTTTATGATTATCTCGCGAAAAAAGAAGCCGCTAAAATTCAGTAACCTCCAGTAACAAAATATGTAAAATATAACTTAAATCAAACGTTTTATTTATAACTATTCACACTTATTACTTCAGGATAACATTTACCAGCTATGGACCCCCGTACCAGTGCCCAGGACGTGATGCGTTGTGAACTGTGTGAGACTGCTGTGGTACAGATGCACTGTGATACATGTCTTGTCAACCTGTGTAAGGCCTGTGTGGGAGAACACATGATCTCTGATCAATCCAAAAAACACGAAGTTGTCACATTTCAGTCTAGGAAATCTACCCTCCTTTACCCTCGATGTGAAGTCCACACAGATAACAGTTGTGAGTTTCACTGTAAGGAATGCAACATTCTGATTTGCTCCGCTTGTATTGTCTCCAAAAACCACAAAGTTCATGACATCCACTTCCTGAAGGACATCCTTGCCAAGAAAAAAGCAGAAATCGAAAAAGAAATTCATGAATTGGAGGAATCCATCCACCCAACCTACCAGGACATTGCTTCTGATGTACAAAACAGAATGAGTCAGTTAGAAAATGAATATGGAGATCTCTCAACAGCCATAACAAAACATGGAGAGGACTGGCACAGAGAAATTGACAAACTTGTCCAGAAACTTAAAACTGAAGTTGATGAGAAGAAAAATAAAGACAATGAAGCTCTACAGACACATTTATCAAACATACAGACATGCACCACTAAGATAAATGATGATATTATTTCTTTACACAAAATAATAGATTCTACGGATATTTTTGAAGTGTTTAACTTCCAATTAGACTCTAAGAAATACAGAATTCTTCCACCTAAATTAAACATAACAATGGCACAGTTTTCACCATTTTCTGTACAGGAACGGATCTCTGAAGTGTTTGGAAAAATAATTCCAACAACGGTATCATCCGATAACCATGGTTACAGCTTAAAAGCGGCCCAAGGATTGTTAGGAGCTGAAATGTCTCCTTTACAAGAAAATTTAACCGAAGCTGGATCCTCCCCTCCAGTCAAAAGGCTTCTTGATGAACCAGAGACTGTCACCACCATATATATTGGGTATGGAGACATTTACAATGTGGCCTGTCTGAGTGATGAAGAAATCTGGACACATGGAACTGACAACACAATGAAACTCTACAGCATCAATCAGGGATCAGTACTCAAGTCAATCACAACCAAGTCAGGGAAACAGCCATTTGACATAGCAGTGACAAAAAGTGGAAATCTAGTTTATATTGATTACAATGATAGAACTGTGAACATTGTGAAGAATGAGAAGATAGAGGAGGTGATCAGACTACAGAACTGGAGACCTCGCGGTGTCTGTTGTACCCCCTCTGGTGACCTCCTGGTTATCATGGAAAGTGATGATTACAAACAAACAAAAGTTGTCCGTTACTCTTGCTGCAGAGAGGAAAATACCATTCAGTTTGATGATAAACGTAAACCTCTTTACTCATCTGGTCCTTTTGACAGATACATAACTGAGAACAGGAACCTGGATATCTGTGTGTCTGACAATGGAGCTGAAGCATTAGTGGTGGTCAATCAGGGCGGTAAACTGAAATTCATGTACACTGGACATACTCCTGCTCCAAAGAACAAACCATTCAATCCACGAGGAATCACCACAGACAGTCAGAGTCACATCCTTACAGCTGATCATAACAATGACTGTGTCCACATCATAGACCAGGATGGACAGTTCCTCCGATTCGTACACTGTGGACTGAGTTTTCCCTATGGACTGTGTACAGATACAAATGACAATCTGTATATTGCTCATCAATTTGAATACAGTCATGTGAAGAAAATTAAATATCAAAAGTGAACTCATTTGAAACAGTCTACAAAATTGACGATTAATTTTAGTAAACAAACTGATATTTTTGAGCATGCTTGCACTTTAAATTTCGCAGTACAGTAAAGGTGCACAGTGGAAATATTGACAAAATTTGCTATTAAAAATGAAGGTATTCGTAATCGGGATGGCGATTATATGAGTTTATACATTGTATAAATAAATATGGCAAAATATTATTGATATAATATAATAAATATGTTCTCCATGCACGGTCAATATGCTTTTATAATGACCCAGACTGACAGTTGACCTCAGATATATGAAGTATATCGCCCTCGATCGTCACCCTGGGTCATAATAAATGCATATTGACCTACATTTAGTCCATATTTGTCACGTATTGCGGCGGTCAAATTATTTACATGTAGCAAATGTACTTGCAGTATAGATGTGACCTATAAATTTCACTAGTAGTGGAGTGACAAGACCATCAAAAATTTGAACTTAATGACCACCCTACCCTACGGCTGATTTGTACTTTTTTGGTCAGACTTATTATCAAGCAATAATTTTTGCCCGGTCGTAGAAAATTCTATGATCAAAATTTAAAATAAAAGAGATCAAAGATCAATGGATGAAATCTGACCATTATATTGTACATATAAAGAAAAGTTCAAGGAATTCGTACATTTGTATAGGAATTTTATTTATTCGGTGAATATATTGATTTCATGGAAAAGAAACAAAACATTGAATGAGAATGCCTGTTTGTCTGTCTGTAAAATGAAAGGTTTGTCTTATAGTACAGTGTATTTTATTAAAACTTAAAAGGTTCAATGCTATAAATGAACGTTATTTTTTACGTACAATCGCGTAATATTTAGTACACAAAGTAAAGAAAAATAAAAACAAGAACAACAACACCCCTGACCCCTACCCCCACCTCACCCCCCTAAAACACCTGATTATGACCATAAATTTCACACTTTTTTAAAAGAAATTGTTTGACGCTTTTTTAAAAGCTTTATTAGTAAAACTTCTTCTAGAGGTCATCCTTGCTCTCACACTGAATTTCGGTATTCCGGTCTCATCCAATGGACAGACCACAGAATATGTAAAGTCTTAATATTATTTATTTCCATGTCTAAATAGGCCAATTCTTTATCAAGGAATGTCGTCTATGATTTGAAAATTTACGTTTAATTTGGTGAACTTTTGAATAAGCGTTTACTCATAAATTAAGCAGGTTACATTGTAGAGATTTGGGGTTTTGAAAGATTTTACACACGTATTGGTGTAAAAGTTGCAATTCTTTAAAAGGGGGTGAAAAGTTAAATTAATGACCTAATACATTTGCTAGAGCTGTATTTCTATTTATTTGTTTTCGTGTACATGTATATCTTTATTGTTAACTTTTCAAGAATATGTTTCATTTTGAAAACTATAAAAGTAGAAACTTTGTAAAAGAGCTGCACTGTAAAAGTAATGATAGCCGATCCTTAATAAGATACTTCAGGTGGATAGATAATAATTAGAACAGTTCAAAATGTTGATCACGTGGCAATATTCACATTAAATGCATGTCGTGCGTGGCTTTTTTTCATCTGCTGACTGAAAACTTTATATCTTTGAATTTTGAAAAAAGGCTGATTGCCTAAATACTCAGTAGTCTTTGTCATTTCATCAAAACTCCTAAAAGAATGTTAGAAACTCACTATTTCTTCTGTCTCTATTGCAATTTGTAAAATTGATATTAGACAAAAAATTAATTCTTGAAGCAAAACTGACAATTCTTTCTCAAAAGGAAAAATATCAAAAAATATTTCTTATGACAGAACAAACCATGAGTTTTCCAAGCAAAAACTTTAGTGGATTGCTTTAACGGTTCCGTTTGATTCATATCTACCTTTCTGGTACGTCTTTTCAAAAGAAAACTTTAAGTAATGTAAGCACTGAGGTAACAAACTATGATACCCCCGCTCATACCCCGCGATTATAGTAACAGAGTTCAATGTTTTTGGTCCATGTTTTTGCTGTAGAAAACACTAAATATATTTCCGAAGAAAACATGAAATTCTGTAAAGTGATGGACAGTCTTTTAGATGAAATACTAAAATCGTTTTTAGCTCTACTGGTCAGAGACCAGAAGAGCTTATGCGATAGTAAGGTGTCCGTCGTCCGTCCGTCCGTCTGTCTGTCTGTCTGTCCGTCTGTCTGTAAACAATTTTTCAAAACGCTACTTTTCCTACAGTATTGGTCTGATTTTAATATAACTTGGCACACAAGTAGACTACACTAAGATACATAACATAGTGCATAGGTTTTTGATTTCGATGAACGGTGTTGCCGTGGTTACTAAAAATAGAATTCTCTGTGAAATTCCTTTAAAATGCTACTCCTCCTACACTTTTGGTCTGATTTCAATATAACTTGGCACATAAGCAGACTACACTAAAATACATAAAATAGTGGATCGGTTTTTGATTTTGATGAAAGGTGTTGCCATAGTTACTAAAAATAGAATTTTCTGTGAAATTCCTTTAAAATGCTACTCCTCCTACAGTTTTCATTTGATTTCAATATAACTTGGCACACAAGTAGACTACACTAAGATACATAAAATAGTGCATCGGTTTTTGATTTCGATGAAAGGTGTTGCCATAGTTACTAAAAATAGAATTTTCTGTGAAATTCCTTGAAAACGCTACTCCTCCTACACTTTTGGTCTGATTTCAATATAACTTGGCACATAAGCAGACTACACTAAAATACATAAAATAGTGCATCGGTTTTTGATTTTGATGAAAGGTGTTGCCATGGTTACTAAAAATAGAATTTTCTGTGAAATTCCTTTAAAACGCTACTCCTCCTACAGTTTTAGTCTGATATTAATATTACTTTGCACACAAGTAGACTACACTGAGATACATAAAATATTGCATCGGTTTTTGATTTCGATGAACGGTGTTGCCATGGTTACTAAAAACAGAATTTTCTGTGAAATTCCTTTAAAACGCTACTCCTTCTACAGTTATGGTCTGATTTCAGTATTACTTGGCACACAAGAAGACTACACTAAGATACATAAAATTGCGCATAAGTTTTTGATTTCGATGAACAGTTTTGCTATTGTTACTAAAAATAGAAATGTCTGTGAAATTCCTGACGGCAATGGCTTCTTTTCTCATCCTTTGTCATAAGTACAAACCAGTAGAGCTACAGTCTCGACAGAGACTTCTGGTTCTCTTTCTGTTTCATACTTGCGTTAATCAATATTGCTAATGAAGCAGAAAGGCAATACCTAGACTTGCTCAAGTCTCTATGTTTTTATTGTTTATTTTTTATAAATAGTTTTACAAATTCTTTGTTCTTATTTGTATTGCTGTCCTCTGCTCTCTGTCATAGTAAAATGTTATCAAACATAGAGACTTGTAAACCCTGCACAGGGCTAACCAGCCTCACTATTAAATCTGTCATCATGTATCGCTCTACGAGACATTTTTATGACCTTTAACAAAATTAAATTGTTTTTGCTCAGCTGGCAATTACACTCCCGTTATCAGTTTCTGAAACTTGCGACTCGTATGGCCGCTTCTACACCTAGAAAGTTTTTTAGTTTTATTAAATATACACCAAGAACAAAGAAATTTATTTGTTTATTGTGTGGAAACAAAACTGAGGATAGCAATTTAAGAAGAAAGTTATTCCAAGGATCATCTAAAACAGAATACTGTGTATTAATTGAAAAATACTTGCACATTGACA